ATATTGAACATTACTAAAAACGAAAAAAAAAGCAAAAATTACCTAAATTGCAATCCAAAACCCATGCATAACAGGCAGGTACCGCGCCCAGGGGGTTAATCGAATAAATTTTATTCGATTAGCCCCCCTGGGCGCTTATTAAATTTTTGGACCTTGAGGGTGGGCATTTATTCGAGGTGGGCACTTATTCAAGGCTGGGCGCTTATTAAATTTTCACCATTTTCAGCAAGTGTAGTATGTTTATTTTGCCACAAAACAGTAAATGCTAGTAAGTAACAAGGGAAGATTTCTGTAAAATACTCTGAAGAAAACTTCTTCTTCCGGGAAGTCTCTTATTATGTAGCAAGGCTGCTGCCTAAGAAAAATTTTAGGGAGCCCTTCGGGCTCCTAAAGTTTAAAGTTAGGAGCCCGAGCCACATTGTTAGGAGCCCAGTTTGAAATCCATGTATTGTTTTTCCAAGATCATTACATAGGTTATAGAGGTTCTTGCACACTTTAATAAGAATTCGCCGGGCCTAATAAATAACACGTAAACAAGAATTAACCGAATTATTTACTTTCATTTATTAATTTATTCAATTAACTTCCACATCTGTTGTGTTCAATGTGACCTAGAAGAGCCTTCAAAGAATTTTCTAAAATGTAACAATTAAACTGCTTCTTACCTTTCTTATACACATTCATGAGCCGGAAAAATATTTGAGGGGCTTAATTTGCGGTAAGAAATAAGCGTTGACAGGCCAAACACGACTCATAAGCTCGTGATAATGTGAAACGTGACCTTGAGAGTCTGCTTGAACAGTGGTTCTCTTGCTTTTTTCTCTCGCGCGAAGGTTACTAGCACTACACAGTGCAAGAGGTGTAGCATTCTAAACTTTGACTGAGTAAATCTTGTTTTTGCCGCACTATAAATCTTATATTTAGAGGTCATGAAGCAGGTTTGTTACATGCATACTGAGTAATCATTTCCTGTGGTTTATGCTTCGGTAGGTGTCCCTGATAGGCTTTGATTTCAGATGCAGTTGTAAAGTGTTTTATATCCTTTGACCTCTGTTTATTACGGCTGAATAAAGATTTTAGTTTTTTTGGTTTTCTCCGAAATGGCTGTATCTGAATAACTACATGCATGCATGCAAGTTTCTTTGTCCGTGAATGTGATTATTTCCTGCCATGTCATGCCACGTCATGCACGTGCAGCAAGGCAGAAATACAACCAACACAAAGTTGATCATTACTTTAATTTCTTTATTCAAGGTAAAGACATCACATTACAAATATGAAATATCATACTGCGTTCTCTGGCGTGTTGTTTTTAAAGTCTCTTGAAAATGCTGATACGTTGCAAACTGGTACATGAAATCGAACATCAAGCACGTCCAGTCGATAGCACGCAAGATAGCTTCCCATTCTCGCCACAAAAAGTTATCAAATCGACGAAAACCCAAGCAAACGATGAACTGCACGAATGTCAACATAGGCAACAAACAGCCCATAATTTTGCTATTCCATATTTGGAAGTCAAATCTCAGACCCAGTCTTCAACTGCCATCCGGACTCGGAAACGATGGCTTCGTTCGTTTCGACAAAGCTTCACAGTTGAACACGTTAGGTTTACATAATTTACGGTTTATTTGTGGAAATTTTATACTGCCTAATCGCATCATCGCTAACCATATCAACAGTTCCACTGTTTAAAGTCCTACTCCAGCTAAAGGAATATAATGTACAAGGAGGTTAAGTCTAATGCCGTGTGTTAAGTCAGGCGCCCGCGCGGGCTCCTTGTACCGAAATTTGGTCGCCCATGCTCTTACCTTGGGCGCCTCTGGCGACCGGGCGCCCGTTAGGCAGCAGCCTTGTGTAGTACTTAATGGTATTCAATTTCAATTTCAATCTCATTGTCACTCAAGTGGATGGGGTGAAGGTGGGTGCTTATTTGAGTTTAATTGGGAGGGGGAGGGGTGGGGTGGACGCTTATTCAAGGCTGGGTGCTTATTCATTTTTTTTTTCCCTTTAGGATGGGCGCTTATTCGAGGTGGGTGCTAATTCGAGGTTGGGCGATTATCCAAATAAATACGGTAATTTTTTTTTTTTGACATTGAACTATCTAAAATTTGGTTTCCCAATTGCATTCACATACTTTTTAGCTCACTGGTCTCGTGGAAGCTTTTTATTGAAAAAGGATAAGTTTTTATGCGCATTTTATTGGCTGAGTCAGACTCTACAAAGGCCGTGGAAGAAACAAGGTAATAAACATACTAAACACTACCCTTCCATTTAATATGGCAGATGGAAGCATCAATAAAATTATGCCACACTCAAACAAACACAGATGTACAGTTAAACCCTGGGGGGTACTCCTGGGAATTCTTGGTGGGGGGTGCCACCATATTCTCCAAATCCTACCCCTATTTCAGACCAAAAAATGTCATTTTGAATTTCCACACCCATTTTCAGACCAGACCTCTAAAATCCATACTCGTTTTCAGAGCTGGCCTTTCTAAAGGCAGAAAATTTATCATGTCATCATTACTTAGATTAGGGCGCAACTAGACCAAAAAAATTTTTGAATGCAATTTAAATTTGCATATTTCTCTCTCTTTCTTACTCATTTGGAATTGAGACGACAAATAAATTCACAGGTGTTCAATCCCATAATTCCTTCGATAACCATACCTGGTTCCAAAATGCATACCTCTTCTCAGACCAAAAAGGCCCACAAACCATACCCTTTGGGAAAGGACATAACCTTAAGGCTTATATAAGGAAGTGATTCCCTCCCCCCCACCCCCATCAACCCCCACAGTTAAACCCTGCATGTTGCTGCTTATAAAAACTTTATTAATGTGTCAAATGCGTTGCTTACACACAGTGTAAACTAATTTATTGTGGACACCAAAAGAAAAGGCGCTATGCAGGATTCGAACCGTGACCTTTGGCTCAATGTAACTTCTCCTCACCGCTACACTACTAAGGATGACTACTGGTGACTTAACAGAGAATCGTCAGAAATTAACATACCTGCAGTTATCTTAAGCGGAAACATCACCTTATTCTGAAACAAACACCTTTGGAGCCTTCTGACAACTTCTGCACCAGAGACAGCTGTAATACTGAACAAAATAAGCAGACTGTTAAACAAGCAAATTTTTCTGAGCAAGTCTCCACCTCAGCCCATGGGACCTCTCTCTGCTCCCAGGGGTATCACATTGATTATAGGTGTATTTCCAAAAATACACCGTGTCAGTGTGAGCTCGTTTTAGCTGATTGAGTGAGGAGGAGATTGTCAAGTCAATTCAGTCACCTCAGCCCAATTTCCTGGACTAGTCAATCTTGCTCTCTATCATAAAACTGATTTTCCGAGTGTGAGCATCCATTTATTGATGAAACCATAGTCATAATAAATTGAGTCGGCTGTGCCTAGCCTGTGGCTAATCGGCCTAGGTTTTGCAACTGTATCCTAGCAA